AAGACTGCACTATAACTACCTGTGTGTTTTATCTGAAATTTCAAACGTACCTCAAGTCACACTGTCAGTAAACATAGATAATTGGGCTTTGCTTTGGCTTAATATTCTACCAGCAGAATATTAATTCTTGAATAGCTGAGTTCAAATATGAGTTTCAGGAAAGCCTTGCCAAGATCCACATATCACTGTAACATATTCTCATAAAAAAACACAAACATGACCAGGCACAGTGGCTCACGCCTATAATCCCAGCACTTTGAGAGGATGCGACGAAAGGATTGCCTGAGCCTATGGGTTTGAGACCAGCCTGGGCAACATGGTGACACCTCCTCTCTACAATAAATCAAAAAATTGGCTGAGCATGGTGGCACATGCATGTAGTTCCAGCTACTTGGAAGGCTGAGGTGGAAGGATCACCTGAACCAAGCAGTCGAGGATGTGGTGGCTGTGAGCAGTGTGCCACTGCACTCCAGCCTGGGCGACAGATTGAGACTCTGACTCAGAAAAAAACAAAACAAAACAAAAAACACAAACAGGTTCCTCCTATAATCTCAATCTTCAAGTACAACTATGGACCTACAAGGAAGGATGGTAGTGAAGAAAACACAACTGTAGCTCCATATAGCATCTCTACCAGGACTACAAACTCTCATCTGACAGCACTAAGAATGGACAGTATATTCCATTTCTCAATATTATCCAGATATTTTAAAATATTTTATTGCAAAATAATTATCTGTATAAAACACTTGAAAAATCAAAAAAGGTAAATAATAAAATACAACCTGTAGATCCACACTCTAAATATAACTTCAATTATTTTTTATGCATTTCTTAAAAATATTTTGTATCTGTTTTGGTTCCGCTACAATATCAAGTTCATCTTTTTGCATCCTTACACATTCTGTAGAAGTATTTTAATGGTTGTTTAATATTATATCACATGCAGTTAATACATACTCTATTTAATTAGATGAAGTTAGGTATGCATCTAGTTTTAATGTTTTTGAGTATTATAATATAGTGCATGTCCTGGAACATTATCCTCTAATTCACAGAAATATATGCTTTATTTATGTATTTATGTTTTTTATCTCCTAGGATTCTTTAATCGAAATACTTCATCTCACTCTTTTGGAAACAGTGATTGTTCAAAGGATGTTCACGTAATCGAAGTAGGTCAATTCAAGGCCTTTTTTTCATTTGATAGAGAGATTCTAGAAGATTGAAGAGAAAGGCTCTTTTACCTCTAAAGTTGCTATGCAGAGAGAATAGGAATCTGCAGCTACTGAGAGCCATATTTTCTTCCAAAGAAATTTGCCTGAAGAATGAAGGTAAGTGGAACTAGCAAAGAGGAATAATAGGAGAGCCCTGGTATATACTGGCCCCTACCACTTGACCTTGATCCTGGGTGCCACAACATTTCCTTCAATTTTGTGAACTTCCATAGGATTATATATAGCTTTAGGTTCAGCTACACTTTCACTTTTTGTTTAAATTGTTTGGGGTTGGGTATCCATCACTTACAACTCAAAAACTTAAAAAAAAATTGGCAATTATGATTTTTTTTAGGAATGCTTTTTAGTAGAATTTATGGCCTAAAGAATAGTAATATTTCATGTTCTTTATATACTTGTATATTTGAAAATTGTATGTAAGTAAATTAACATAAATTTGCAGTCCAATAGTAATGGATGTTTGCCACAGATAGTTTTCTGAAAAATCTCCAAATAATGATGCATCTGTGAGTTTGAAGCTGTATAAATTCCAAATCTTCATTCTGTTTATTCCACCAATGTTTACAGAGCAGTTGCTACAGTGTGCCAGGAATTATTCATGCATTAGAGTACAAAGACAAAAAAGGACACAAGACGATCTTAAGGGAGTTCACATTGAGGAAGCAGAAATCTTCCCACCTAAATATATTATGATATGCTCCAATATGATATAATGACAATATGAAGAAAGAATACTGGAAGTATATATGAGGAAGTATTGATTTGCTATCAGTGGTGTCTTAGTCCATTTTTTGTTGTGTATAACAGAATATCTAAAGCTGAGTAATTTATAAAGAGAAAAATATTTCATACAGTTATGAGGACTGGGAAGTCCAAGGTCAAGGAGCCACATCTAGTTAGGGTCTTCTTGCTGGTGGGGACACTACAGAGTCCTGAGGTGGTATAGGGCATCATATAGTGAGGGGACTGAGTGTGCTAACTCAGGTCTCTATCTTCATATAAACCCACTAGTCCCACCCCTGTGATAAACCATTAATCCTTAACACATTCATCCATGAGTGGGCTAATCCATTCATGAGGGCATAATCTCTTATGACCGAATTCTCTCTTAAAAGCCCCACTTCTCAATACTGTCATATTAGGGATTACATTTCAACGTGAGTTTTGGAGGAGACAAACATTCAAACCATAGCCAAAAGAAAAGACTTTATAAAGCTTTTTACTATTGACCTTGACAATAAAACTTTACACTGCCCAGATTGACATATTTTGTCTATGGCATTTTTAAATATTCAGATAATTTATGTTTTAGGCCTCCATGTAGTTTCGTTCTGATCATTACAAACACACGATATAGTACCAAAAATAAGTGACTAAAGAAATTCCTGGGTGTGCTAATTCATCAAGATAAGTAGTTATGAAACGATACTTTCAATAGCCTTCTGTCACCTCATCATGGACTCACACTTTAAGACGAGATAAAAACGCACTTCATGTTGCTATGTGCTATCTCCTCTACTCATCACCTAGATGTTAACATATCTTATTTTACTCGGGTCTCCATCAAATGACTACTTTTCATAACACATTTTTTTTCCTGTACAACTTACAAAATAGTTCCCATTATTTTGCTACCCTCTATTTTCTTTAAATAGTTATTATATAGTAGTTATTCACTTGTTTGTTAAATTCTCCCGATATTCTGTGAGATCCAAAGTGTGAACACTTGTTTGTCTTATTTACAGCCATATTTGGTAACATTTACTAAAACAGTGTCTGTTCCTAGGAATCACCCATCAATATTTGTTGACCAAACGCCCTGATTTGCAAGAGTTTAGAAATAAGTATAAAAATAAAAATGCATAGGAGACGGACCTTATCCTCATTGTTGAGTGTGATGGGTAGAAACTGAAGTGTGCCATTTTAAATTAAAAATCCGAGGGTATAGAAAGTCTAGACCTCTGTATTAGTTTTCTGGGGATGACATGACAAGTTACCACAAACTGATTGGATTAACCAACAAAAATTACTTTCTTACAGTTCTGGAGGCTAGAGTCTGAGATCAAGGTGTTGACAGGATTGGTTCCTCTGAGGGTTGCGAGGAAGATTCTATTCCATGTTTCTCACCTAGCTTCCGGCAGTTGGTTGGCAATCTTTGAAATCCCTTGGCATGAAGAAGCATCACCAAGATCTCTGCCTTTATCCTCATATGAGTTTCTCCTTTAATAGTCAACCAATTCTTCAGGTTTAAACCAAAGGCTACTTTCTTTTTCAGCACTTTTAACTAAGTCGCTGCTGTGAATGATGTTTCTGCCAACTTGAACGCAGATGCCCCCACAAGTGGTGCCTGGCTTAGAATCTGCCAGATTGGTCTCCCCAAGCATCATGCAGCCAGGCTTCACAACATGCAGCCCTTCCCATACCATGTCCACCACCGGGCCTGAGTTAATATGCTTCACCAGCCCAGGGAAAAAATGGGCAGTCTTTCAGGTCAATGTAGTGCTGTTTCATTGTTCCTCAGAAGGAACTTCATGGCCACAAGGCAGAATCCCCTCTGTTGGAAGTGCTTGATGATCTCGCCCCTAGGCAGTGCTGCACATGATCCGGCTTGATGACGATGAAGGTGCTCTCGAAGCTGGCAGGACCAGGCCAAGAGTATTTCTTGATGCTTCAGTTTTGCTTCTTTACATCAGTGTCCCACAAATCAGGATTCTGATAGGTAAACAAATATTCCCTCTCCTGACTGCCAAGCTGGATGCCCAACCTCCAAGCAACCCAAACAGTAAGTATGGTCTTTTGTTTTTAAAGGCAGAGTCTTGCTTTGTCACCCAGGCTGGAGTGCAGTGGAATGATCATGGCTCACTGCAACCTTAGACTCCTGGACTCAAGTGATCCTCCCACCTCAGCATCATGAGTAGCTGGTACTACAGGTGTGCACCACCACGCCCAGATTTTTTTTTTTTTTTTTTGAGCGAGATGGGGTCTTGCTCTGTCACATGGGCTGGTCTCAAATTCCTGGCCTCAATAATCCTCCTGCCTTGGCCTTCCAAAGGGCTAGAATTATAGGCGTGAGCTACAACAAATGGTCTTGGCTTACTATGTGAGCCAAGAATAGTCTTGATAACTTGTTGCCTCATTGATGGCTGTTTTCCGTTAAGCCAACATCCACAATCTTTTTGATTCTTGGCTTTTCTTAGAATCAACATGCTACACTGAGGAATTTATCTTTCTCTTCTCATTCATGCTGCCCTCTTGTAGGAGTGTATAGAAACCTTCACATTAAATCATCCCACAGGATATAAGACTCTCTCTTTGTAGGGTCCTTTGTGTGTTCTGATATTTAAAAATAAAGATAGGGACCGGGTGCGGTAGCTCCTGCCTGTAACCCCAGCAACTTGGAAGGCCAAGGCAGGAGGATTGCTTGAACCCAGGAGTTCAAGACCAGCCTAGGCAATATAGCAAGACCTCATCTCTACAAAAAAATAAAATAAAAAATAAGCCGGGCATGGTGGCATATGCCTGTAGTCCCAGCTACTCAGGAGGTTGAGGTGGAAAGATCGCCTAAGCCTAGGAGGTCAAGGCTGTGGTGAGCTGTGATGGTACCATCGTACTCCAGCTTAGGCAACAGAGTGAGATTCCAACTCAAATAAATAAATAAATAAATATAAAGATTAAAACTTTTCATAGTAGTTAAAGCCACTTGACCTTCGAGACTGCGTCCGCCCGCTCGCGCCGACCAGTGCCTTCACTCCCCTGGTCCACGCCGCTCCAGCTCACCATGGATGATGATATTGCTGCGTTCGTCGTTGACAACGGCTCCGGCATGTGCAAGGCCGGCTTCGCGGGCGACGACGCCCCCCGGACCGTCTTCCCTTCCTTGGTGGGGCGCCCGCAGCATCAGGGCATGATGGTGGGCATGGGTCAGAAGGACTCCTACGTGAGCGATGAGGCCCAAACCAAACCAAGAGAGGCATCCTGACCCTGAAGTACTCCATTGAGCACGGCATCGTCACCAACTGGGACGACATGAAGAAGATCTGGCACCACACCTTCTACAACGAGCTGCGTGTCGCCCCCGAGGAGCACTCCGTGCTGCTGACCGAAGCTCCCCTGAACTCCAAGGCCGACCGGGAAAAGATGACCCAGATCATGTTTGAGACCTTCAACACCCCAGCCATGTACGTGGCCATCCAGGCTGTGCTGTCCCTGTACGCCTCTGACTGCACCACTGGCATCGTGATGGACTCCGGGGACAGGGTCACTCACACTGTGCCCATCTACGAGGGGTACGCCCTACCCTAAGCCATCCTGCGTCTGGACCTGGCTGGCTGGGACCTGACAGACTATCTCAATGAAGATTCTCACCGAGAGTGGCTACAGCTTCACCACCACGGCCGAGCGGGAAATTGTGCGTGGCATCAAGGAGAAACTGTGCTACGTTGCCCTGGACTTCGAGCAGGAGATGGCCACCACCGTGTCCTCCTCCTCCCTGGAGAAGAGCTACAAGCTGCCCGACGGTCAGGTGATCACCATCAGCAATGAGCGCTTCCTCTGCCCCCAGGCTCTCTTCCAGCCTTCCTTCCTGAGCATGGAATCCTGCAGCATCCACGAAACCACCTTCCACTCCATCATGAAGTGTGATGTGGACATCCGCAAGGACCTGTACGCCAACACGGAGCTGTCCGGAGGTACCACCATGTACCCAGGCATCGCCGACAGGATGCAGAAGGAGATCACTGCCCCGGCGCCCAGCACAATAAAGATCAAGATCATCACACCTGCTGAGTGCAAGTACTCCGTGTGGATTGGCGGCTCCATCCTGGCCTCCCTGTTTGCCTTTCAGCAGATGTGGATCATCAAGCAGGAGTACAACGAGCCCGGCCCCTCCATCGTGCACCGCCAGAGCTTCTAGGCAGACTAACTAGCGCGTTACACCTTTCTTGACAAACCCAACGCGCAGAAAACAAGATGAGATTGGAATGGCTTTATTTGTTTGTTTGTTTGTTTGTTTTTGGCTTGATGACTCTCAGGATTTAAAGACTGGAACGGTGAAGGTGACAGCGAATTGGAGCGACATCCCCAAAGTTCTATAATGTGGCCAAGGACTTTGATTGTACATTGTTCTTTTTTTTAATAGTCATTCCAAATATCGTTAGAAGCATTGTTACTGGAAGTCCCTTGCCCTCCCAAAAGCCGCCTCACTTCTCTCTAAGGAGAGTAGCCCAGTTCTCTCCTGGTCCACATGGGAGAGGAAACAGCATCGCTTTTGTGTAAATTATGTAATGCAAATTTTAAAAATCTTCGCCTTAATACTTTTTTATTTGTTTTATTTTGAATGATCAGCCACCGTGGCTCCCCTTTTTATCCCCTACTTGAGATGTATGAAGGCTTTTGGTCTCCCTGGGAGTGGGTGGAGATGTGGAGGCAGCCAGAGCTTACCTGTACACTGACTTGAGACCAGTTCAATAAAAGTGCACACCTGAAAAAAAACCCCAAAACAAAAAACCTCTGTAAAGGAACAGATAACCTGAATTTACACAAATGATGGGCTCACTGAAGAGGTTTTATAACAGTTAGGATGCAAAATTTAAGAATGCCTTTATTTGGTTTTGCTTTTTTTGGTCTTGTTAAATAAAATGAGAAATGGCTAACAAGATACTCCTACCCATTGCACTGCTCTTAAAAAGGTGTTTCTGTTACCAGTAGTTTAATGGTTATATGAAAAAACAAAGACAGTTTATAAAGAAAACATGTGTGCTAATCAAATAATGACTGTTGTCATTCATACTCCCCTGTCATGTGATTCCCAATTTAAGTGTTTATGTACATTTTGAGGTAAATTTTAAACTCCTCCAAGAGAAAGATAACTTTCGTCATATGTTTTAATTTTATTCAGTACAGTGGGCAAACAGCTTTTCACATAGTGGAGCTTTCATATATATACACATTGTATGAGCACACAAGTGTATATACTAAACCTATCAGTATATGCATAAAACACATATGCATATATATCATTATATTTCTTTAATTAATAATTTAATTCTTATTTTGCTAGGGAATAATTTAATTCTTATTTTGCTAGGGAATGAAAAACAAAGAAAAATCATTTAGAATCTTAAGGAGTCTCATGCTTGTCTTTTAAACAATAATGTTGTGAATTCCTAAGCTGTATGTCAACCAAGCACATGATTCAAAATACCTTTGCTAAAATGTGAAAAATACTTAGAGCAAAAGAGAGAATTATAGTTTACAGAGTCATCATTCTAAGGACAGTAGGGTGAAATAAGGACAGAAGAGCTTTAGGTGATCTGATGTACTGTGACAATTTGCTCTGGGACGGGATACAAACCCCTTCTACTACAGAATTAACAGCAGAATTCCTCATAATTCTTTCACACTGTGGCAGACAGTCTCTGAAGCAGTTTTATGTGGCCCTCTTGAGTCTAGACAGGAATGGTTCTCTTAGATACTGAAAGGTGAAGGAGTAGACCCCAGAAGACTCCCTCCTGAATTTTGCAGGCAGACCTCTTTAACTCAGTTGTTTGCTGGACCTGCCAACTCAAATAAGTATGTGAGAAATAAAATCAGTTGTCCTGGAAGAGGTTAGAATGCTGGCTTAATTTTGGCCCAATATCAAGTGTGATTGTGTTTTCATTCGGTGGAAGAGATTTCAAAGGGAAAGGTGAAACTGTAGCTACTTGTTTGGATCTAAAATTAGGCTTTAAGATATCCTTCAAATGGCTTGAGTCAGGAAGAATTCCCTGAGTCTCTGTGCCATCTCCTGTAGAAAAGATGACTTGCATGCTGTGTTTGCAATTACACATTCTCAATTCTCGTAGACTAATCATTGTCAGCTATATTTCTTTCTTTTCTAGCTTACTCTCACATAAGCAGCACATGCAGTATAAATCTCCTACTTCCTATTGCACATTCTTATGGGTTTCTTGATCACTCCACTACTTAGGACATTGTATTACACATACTCAGAGCACCATATATTAGTATCAATGCTTTCTGAAATGGGTGTTTCTCATTGCCATTTCTCTCCCTCCTTCCTTCTCATTTTAGTGAGTTTCATTTATGCAAATATGACCTACTTGATAACTAAAACTTCATTCCAAAGTACCTGTGGCCTCTTCAGTACCAAAAGTGACTTATCTTTTTTCTTGTTTTTCCTCATTTAGTAAGGAGTGAAGTAGTAAGTGAGTAGTGTAGGGAAATTTGGCATTGCTCTGCTTATATGAGAGACAGAAAAAGAAACAGACAGAGAACAAAACAGAGAGAAAGTCAAGATGCCATTAAACACCACTAATTACAAGTGAGATCCTGATAGTGAGAAATAATTTTATTGTACAAAAATGACAAAAGATACAAGCAAATAAAGAAGCTTAAATAGTTATTATTTGATACATTCATTCAACAAAAAAGCAGATTTTGAGCAGAAGAAGCGTAGTGATAGCTTGATGAATTTTTACAATCCAGTTAGCTTTTTTCTTTCATTTTTGGCAATCAAAACTCTAAATTGTATCATAAGTACATCTATAAAATAAAAAGACCGATGGCATGGTAAAATCTTACTGGTACAAACAGAAAAAAAGAGAAAAATGTTGTAACAATTGTTATTTTGTCATGAAAATATGAGGGATGTTTATAGCTTTCCCAACAAAAAAATGGTAAAATTTCTACCCCAGGGCCAACATCCTTTTCCACATTTTAATAATGTTCTTAGTGACACTTTAATTGTCATCTCTTTCCTTTTTGACTTCTGTCTGTTTTTGCTGCTTCATGTATAGTTCCATTTATTCCTTCATAACATCTTATGCTTTACACCCTTGCCATGTACACATATATCCTAGTATGATTTTGAAACGTTATTAGTCATGCTGAAATTAATCCTAGACTACACTGTAGAATACATGTTCATGTGCCTCTAAAAGGTGTTTGTTAAATTGTAGGTATTTCAAGGAGTAAATTATATTGCTGCATTATGGAACATAACAATTTTATGCCACATCGTGCTTTTTATACTGATGGAACTTGTCTGCTAAGAGAGAGGTTTTGAAAGTTAACAGAGCCGGGCTCAGTGGCTCAGCCTGTAATCCCGCGCCTTGGGAAGCTGAAGTGAGTGGATTGCCTGAGCCCGCGCGTTCGAGACCCGCCTGGGCAACGTGGTGAGACCTCATCTCTACAATAAATAAAGCATCAGCCGGGTATGGTAGCGCATGCCTGTAATTCC